CTGTTAAAGGCAACACTGTAAGAACATAGAGCAGATGAGTGATTGCCAGGATTTGGGAGTGACAGGAGACAGGAGGGAAGTTTTTGGGGTGATCTTGATTGTGGAAGTAGTTATTTGATTGTATGCATTTGCCAAAACTCATAGCCATGTATACTAAAAAAAAGAAAAGAAAAGAAAGAGAGGAGAATGTTAATGTAGGTAAATTATTCTTGAACAAACTGAAGTTTTAAAAAGTGCTAGTTGCTGGGAAAATGATAGCAAAGTTATCACAGGGCCAAGATTATTCCCATAGTATGGGCCAATGAAGACAATTCTCCCATGAGTAGCTTGGGAGTTTGTGCAGAGCCAGAATAAAATACCTATTATTAATAACTTAATAAATAATTTATTTAATTAAACATTTATTGTGCCTTGCAAATGCTGTTAGGGTGAGACAAGAACAAGGTCCAGCTCCTATTCACAAGGGGGCTAACAATGTAGTGGGCATGGGGTAAGAAAAAGACAATTGCAGTATAACGATCATTACCTTTGATAATAATGAAAGAACCAGTATATAAGTAGACTCTTCGCACATTACACAACTAAAAGCACAAACTAAGCATTATAAATATGCTCCCCACCCCCATACTTATTAGCAGAACAAAGATAATAAAAGCTAGTGTTTGATTGCTTACTATGTGAGAGGTACTATGCTAAGCACCCATTTAAGGCTCGCAAAAACTCTATGAGCTATGTTGAATGAATTAAAAAAGTCTGCAGGATTTGCTAGAAATAAATGATAAAAATTTATGCCCTGGTCAGTTTGGCTCAGCAGTTGGAGCATCGTCCCACAGACCAAAGAGTCGTAGGTTTGATTCCAGTCAAGGGGGTGTACTTTGGTTGCGGTTAGATTCCCAGCCCTGGTTGGGGTCTTGCGGGAGGCAACCAGTTATTGTGTCTCTCTCACATTGATGTTTCTCTCTCACTCCCTCTCTCTCTCCCTCCCTCCCACTCTAACTAAAAATCAATGGAAAAATGTCCTCTGGTGCAGATTACAAAAAAAAAAAAGGTAAAGATTTATTCAAGGGTCTTGGTGTTTGCAAACTAGGAACACAGCTAGGCAAAACTCCAGAAGTATTCCAAAAAAGAAAGACAAGTTAAAAGTTTTAATAGCAAAAGTATGTTGTCTAGAATTATCAGTCCTGCATGCTTGGCTCTAGGATGGCTCCAGAAAGGTTATCAGTCAGAAGTCAGGCAGTCAGGATGATGAGAGCCAGGCGCTCTGGTCAGTCCAGGATGTCCGGATAGCGGATGTCTAGGGGCTATATCCATGGAGTCCTTCAGGTGGTAATCAGATGACCTGGGTATAGAACTCCTTTTGAGGGTAATTAGAGGGTTACCTGGAAGTGAGATGTTTACCCAGGCGTTGACGCAGGACCGAAAACGTAAAAAAAATTAAGTTCCTGGGCTAGTTAGAACAAGAATGGACTCTCCTCACGTCTCAACCTTCGTAATATTAATAATTTTAGCAGCTTGGTTAAAGTGACTTCATTTTATATATTCCCCATCATCACTCTTTCCTCAGCTAGGAACTACCATTATCAGCATCCTTTACAGATGAGGGAACAAAGTCACAGAAAAGTTTTTTTTTTTTTTTTTTGCCCCTGGTCCTGCAGCTGATTAAGGACAGCAAAGAGATATAAACCCTGGCAGGACGGCCACCTCTTAACCATGACAGTATACTGTAGAAGGATACAGTGACCTGGGTCACCTAGACTCCTGAAGTTTGGAACTGGTTGCTCTAACCCTGCCTCAGTTGCCCTAACAGACGAGGAGAGAGGTCAAGTATGCAAAACTTCCCAAGCCACTAGGATAAGCCATTACTCCTTCTGAGTTCTTTTCCTGTCTTTACCATTTACCTACCCACCCCCATTACTAAAGTCATGCCTAAGTATTACAGAAAATAAAGGGAGGGGGGAGAGAAAACCCATGAAACAAAACAAAAACAAATCAAACCAAATACTTTCATTCATCTATAGTCTCACCACCCAGAGATAACCACTGCAAACATTTTGGCACATTTCCTTATAATTGTTTTAAAAAATGTCTTTTATTTACATAGCTGAGGTCATAACTAAATGTAATGTTGGACCCTGTCTTTTTTCATTTAATATCAGAGCATAAACTCTTTGTAAATGGTTTTAAAGAGTTGTATTTTAAATGGTTGTATAGTAATCCATCATATGGATATTCTGTAATTTATTAACTGTTCCTTCACAATTCAATATTTAGGTTATTTCCAGTATTTCATTATTATAAATAACACCACCATGAACATTCTAGTCCATAAATCTTTGTATGCATTGCAGATTATTTTTTTAGGATAGTTTCCCAGAAATGTAATTAGTAGGTTAAATGTCATGAATATCTTAAAGATTATGTAGAGATGTAGTATTTTTTTAATAAACAACAAATACATTCTTTACAAATAAATGGGAAGGCTTCCAGGGAGTCAAAAGTTGTGTATATGTTTGCTCCTGTGTATAAGTGTGAGGGAGGTTGAACAGAAAATTTCTCACTCCATGGTCAAAGTTCAACAAGCACTAGATTTTTTCTCTTGTGAGCTACTTCTCAATTTTCAGGGGTACATGCTGATTAAATATTGATCAGCTGAGTGCCAGCAAATGGAAGCAACTTTCAAGTATGGAGTTTGTATGCCTTTTGTAAGTAGATGGTCCATAGAATGGGTTAGACTTGGGACGTCAGCATTTTTTACCTAGTATAGCACTATCACCACCATTAGCTCTTACAAATGCTGGGTGAGATGGATTGGGGTAGCCACAGCCATTCCCAGGTCATTAGTCGGACACTCAGGCCCAGGAGAAATGACTTATCCAAAGTCACAGTGCTGGTTGGAGAGAGCTGGGATTAGAATTCTAGTTTCATGGCTCTAGGGGTAAAGCCCCTGTTATGGACCGAATTATGTTCCCTACTCCCATCCATATATTGAAGACTTAACCCTTAATGTGACTCTATTTGCAGATGGGGCCTATAGGACACCAAAGCTGTCACTATGTGATGACCCATGCAGTGAATCAACCATTTTAACAGAAGCCAGGAATAGAGATGTGATTATAGCAGCAGAGACACTGCCGGTGTGGACCAGAGGGAACAGAGTCAGGATGAAACAAAGAAAGGCGTTTGGACTTCTGGGATTCTACAAGACAGAACAATAGAGCAACTGGGTGTGCTTTATCCTTCAAGGGAAAGAAAGAATGAGCCTGAAGATGGTTCAGAGATCATCAGGCTGCCATTCCCACTACATGCCTAGAGCATACAGGCCTAGAGGGCAGGCTCTTTCTTTCCTGATTTCAGAGGGTGGGTCCTCCTCCTGGTTTCTGGGAGCCAGGCTGCCCCAGCCTAGTGCCTGGAGGGGCAGGGCTGAAGCAAAAAGCAACAGGGGTGGGGCTGCTGCAGAGCCTAGGAGGCCTGGCCACTGCCTAGGGCCTGGGGATGACACTACTGCCTCAGTGGACCTGGAGGGCAGAGCATCCAGTCAGAGGACTATTCTAGAGCCTTAAATTAAAAAAATTGCTTTGCTAGGTTTTGGATTTGCTCTGAACCCGGCCACCTTTTTGTTCTGATTTCTTGCTTTTGGAATGGGAATGTCTATCCTATATTTCTATTTTGTAAGCAGTAACTTGTCTGATTTTACAGGTTCACAGAGAGAAATTTTGCCTCAGGATGAATCACACCTAGAATCTCACCCATATGTGATTAGATATTTAGGTGAGACATTTGACTTGGAGTTGATGCTGAAATAGATTAAGACTTTGGGGGCTATTGGGATGCTGTAAATGTATTTTGCATGCAAGAAGGACATGCATTTTTTTGGGCAGAGGATGGAATATTATGAACTGAATTGTGCCCCCACCCCCACTCCCCACTCCTATGTTGAAGCCCTAACCCCCAGCATGGGGTAATCTTCAGTATTTGGATAAAAAAACCTTTAAAGAGGTAATTGACATTGGGCAAATGAGCCTCTCAGATCTGGTTTTCTTATCTGTAAAACAGGATACTATTAGTACCTGCCCTAGGAGATTATTGGGCTAATTAAAAGAGATGATGTATGCAGAGTTCCTGGCACATATCAAAGGACAATAAAAGGTAGTTCTTTTCCTAGATTAATTAATTAAATATGTTAACGGATGTAAAGTGCTGAGGACAGTCTCCAGGACTTAATAAGGGCTATGTCAGTCTCAGTTATGGTTATTTTCTGATTCTAGCAGATAGTAAACCCTTCGAAGCCTTAAATCCTAACCATCCCAAATCCCAGTTTTCCCTCAATGCAGCTCATGGGCTTTCCCGTCCTAGTTCGTTTCTCTAGGCCATTTTCTCTGCCTGGTGCTCCAAGCCTCCTCCCTAGCTCAGATGTCTTCTCCTCTGGGAATCCTCTCTTCTCCACCCCCATCCCAGTCGGAGGGAATAGCTCCTTGATTTGTGTCCTGCTAAGGAAACAACCCCATATAGCACTTAGTTCTTTGTGCCTGGTGGTTCCGTTAACTCTTTCGAAGCCTGCTGGGTGAGTGGCCTCTGAGTATCACCCAGGGCGCCTGGCACAGCGCGGGACAGAGGACCGGGCCGCTGTCCACAGAGGGGTCCCGTTTAACTCCTGCAAGCCCGAGCCCAGGACTCTCCCCAGGCCGCGCCCATCTTGAGTGAATCCTGGCCCTTCCGAGGGCTCGGACTCTCCTCCGGCAGCTCTGGGTCACCTGAGCCCGCCGGGCTCCCTGGGGGTCCCTCCGGCTCCTCCCCTGGCGGCCCCTCCCACCCCCTCCGGGCGGCACGTCCCCTCCTCCACCCGGTGGCTGAGCCTTGCGGAGGGCGGAGCGTCTCGGCCGATGGCTAAGAGCCGGGCTGGGAGGCGCTGGACCATCAGTGGGTTCCAGACGCGTCGCCGCCCGGCCGGGGTGCTGGCATGGCCGCGTGCTTGTGAGCGCGGAGCGCGCGAGGGGCCGCTGCCACCATGCCCGGGGGTGTGGGCGCCGCCCGGCTCTGCCTGCTGGCGCTCGCCCTGCCGGCATGGACCAGAAGTAAGTGGCCGGGCGCGGGAGGGCTGGGGTGGAGATGGAGGCGGTGGGCTAGGTGACCAGGGACCTGGGAGTTGCCCCCTGCAACTCCGCGGGGCTGCGCCCCCGCCGTTCCCCAGCCCGGGAGCCCCGGCTTTGTTCCCACGTTGTACCCCCTGGGAGGTGGTGGAGGTTCTGAGCACGCAGAAAACAGCGGGTGCCCTCCCTGGCTTCCTTTTCCCTCTCTTTCTTTTTCCTCTGCCTTTTTTTTTTCCTCCCCTGCTTTCGGCTTCTCTTTCCGCTGCTTTCCTAGTCTGTCCTCTTTTCTCCAGTCTTTGTGTGTGTGTTCCTATAAATATATGCTGATAAAATTGGAAACATACCATATGCACAGTTTTCTGTCCTGCATTTTCCACTTCACATAATGAGCATTTCCCACATCGTTAAAATTCTTCAGAACATGATTTTAATGACTATAAATTCCAGCAAGAAATCGCAGAAGTATAATCTTCAAAAAGTTAAAAACACAACTCTCATACAAATGTAGGATGAATGAGTGGCAAAGACTCGCTGGGTTCATTAATGAGGCAGTGGATGGAAATGTGAAGCTGGTTCAGAGCCTTAGAAGAACAGGGCTGGTACAAGGCACTGGAAGAGTGTTGAAATCTTGTGCTGGGACAGATGCAAAGCTAGCCAGTGCCCCGTGGGGCCAAAGGACCAGCATTCTCAGTTATCTTTCTAGTATGCTGAAGTCATTTGCATCTCTACCTGTGGGTCAGAAATCTACAGTTAACACATAACAGAGTATATAGAGTCTTTTAATTAATAGTAAATAAAAAAGTCAGACAAAGGTACATTCCCCTGTTAAACAATGCTACAGTGTGACATTGAAAGGACATCCTGCTTTCTCATTGCCTTGTTTCCAAGTTTTGGACAATTTTTTTAAAAAGATGTACTGTGGTCTTTTTTTTTTTTTTTTTTAGATTGCTTTCAGTATTTTTTTGCACCATAAAGATCATTTCATTTTAAAAACATTCCATTAAATATCATATAGCCCCTTTGTTGTCATTGCTTTTACAAAGAATCTAGACGTAATCAGAGCCACTCGAGCAGGGACTATGCCTCTCTGATGCCCCCATGAATACCAAGCACCTAGCACAGCGCTTGGCACATAGTTCAGTACTCAGAAAACATGTAATGGATAAATGACTGCATTGCTTCTGATTTTTAGAAATATGATGAAACTGATATAGGTCTATTGAGATTATTTTTAGGGCATATATATATATATATGTATATATATATATATTTTTTAATCTTCACCCAAGGACATTTTTCCATTTTTTGTTCAGATAGAGTGGAGGGGGAGAGAGAGAGAGAGAGAGAGAGAGAGAGAGAAACATTGATGTGAAAGAGACACATCGAGTGGCTGCCACCACACACCAACCAGGGCTGGGGACAAACTGCAACCAAGGTACGCGCCCTTAGTGGGAACTGAACCCAGGTCTCTCTGGACCGCAGGCTGATGCTCTAATTGCTGAGCCAAACCGGCCAGGACATTTTTTTAAGGGTATATTTTGATTGAGAATACATTAAATCACTAATCTGAAAGGAAAGTTAACCACCCATAGTCCCGCCACTAACCAAACAGCTATGTCTATCTTTTCTATCACTCACTACATTCTATGTGATTGATATGTTTGGTTTAGACAGAAATAGATTTTGGAGTCCTCATCCTCGCCCCCGGGAGTCCTGTGGATTTGGCTTATTCTTATGGAGAGTAATTTGCCTAGGTTTTGAGAAATGACCACTTTGTTAAGATTGTCTACAGCCAGTGTTTGAGGTTAGCACTGCCTAGAACAGGTCTCTCCTCACACGTTTAAGTTTGCCTCTCTTAAAAAATAGGAATCCTGCAGCCTACCTCCCAGGGTTGTCGTGAGGATGAAGAAGTGGGTGGTGAGATTGATTTGGAAAGTAGCAAGTGACATCCAAATGCAGACTTCCCATTAGGGAGCTCAGGTTCATGCTATGATGCTTTGTAGATGGAGAAGCAGTTTGCAGCGACTCTTCCCAGTAATTCTGTGAGGTGGGCAGGCAGGTATCACTGTTTTCATCTTACAGATGAGAAAACTGAAGCTCCATTGAAATATCACTCGGGGCCTTGACCTCCAGAACATGCCCAGAATCCAACCACTTCATTCCTCTTGACTGATGTAATTCTAGTCGGAGGCACCATCATTTCTCAACAGGGCTCCTGCACCTCTCCAGCCTTGCCTTCTGCTTCTCCTCTCCTTCCCTCCCTCCTCCCCCACCCAGCAGGCCGAACAATCTTTGAAAAACTGAATACAGATTGTATTTCTCTGTGTTTAAACCCTCCAGTGCTTTCCAAGTCTATTTATAATAAAATCCAGACACTTTCCATGGCCTCCGTGATAGACCCTTGGCTGTCTTGCTGACCACATCTCCTACCAATTTCCTCCTTCATTTGCTAGACTCTAGTTATCTTTACTTTCTGCTGCTTCCTTGAACAGACCAAGTCTGCTTCTGCTCATGCAAGGCCACCACGCCTGCTGGTCCCTCCACTCGGGGCTCTCCTCTTCCAGGTCTTTGTACCACTGCCTTCTTCTCGTCCCTCAGGTCTCAATTAAATGCCATCGTTGCTGACCATCCTGTCTAAAATAGCGACCCCTTCTCTTTATTCCATGACCCTATTGTACCATTTAAGAATATTTGTGTGTTGTCCATCTCCCACCTCTAGAAGATTAACTTTCTGAGGAGTACAGAGACCTTGCTACCCCTGTTTAGCACTGTATGGCCAACACCTAACAGAGTGCCTGGCCCATACTAAGTGCCAAGGGCTTGGAATCCAGCAGGTCTTTTAAGGTCCCGATATGGGGTTCTTCCCAGTTGGCAGTGCACGCCTGGCTTAGCTAGGGTGCAGAGGTCTGGGATTCCAGTGGTTGTTCATCCTGTATTGGCAGGAGGAAGTGGGCAAGCCAGTCCCCAGCTGCAGCATGAACAAATAATACCTCAATGGAAGACTGCGGAAAGCCCTACAGGAGGAAAGGTAAGACCCAAAGCTCTCATTTTCAGAGGCAAGAGTTGGCAACGTCATTCTGTGAGGGTTGGGGCCACCTCCTCAACTGTGCTGGAGACCGCGTCATCACAGTTAGTTCTGTTTGTGACCCACTCTATCCTGCCTGTCTGTCATTTTCGGAATCTCAGATGGGACTTTCCTTCAAAGTGTGACAATCTTCTAGAATACTTTCAAACGCTATTAATTGAGGAAATGAAAATCCATGCTGATGCTGACACAAGCTAAGTGCAAATATGTGTCCCCCAAATCACCGGCTGTCGGCTGGAATTGATTAAATATCATCATTGTTATTTTTGCTCTGCATCATACATGCTTTATTTTATTGATGCGATAATGTACATGGAGAGAAAATGCTAATCCAAACTATTTTTTAAATAAGAGGTCAGGTAGGGACGGGATACTGGGGAGTACATATCTTAAAATCCAATAGGCATCTTAGGCCACGACACCAGCAAATGCACAGGCTTTGTCAAGGAGCTTGGGAATAAGACCAAAAACACTGTCCCGTTCCTGCAGAGAGGACCTCTGTGTCTGGGATAGTCTTTGGTTTTACGTGGGAGAGCTAGAAAGGATTGTTGACCTTCCACTTTCTGAACTTCAGTTTCCTCATTTATAAAATAGTGCTTAGAGGGAATAAGAAGGAAGGCTGGGGAGAAGGGGTAGTGATTAAGATCCCTGTGGGTTGAGAGGCTCAGTGATTTATTGGGCAACATATAAGAGCAAGATTATAATAGGAGAGAGAGGAGAGACTTATGTCAGATAAGATTCCAGACTTTGTGGCTTTTGAGTTTAGAAAGGTAAATAGAGAGGGAAAATGCCTAGAATTCTTAAAGTTAGGGTTAGAGTAATACACACATGTCCAAAAATGCTCCAATTTGGATTCACTAAGAGAACTTACAGAGAACATTTCAGGACAAATGAAAGCAAGTAACATTTTACCCTGAAGACAATAAATGCATGGAATTCATTTCATCAAAAAAGTACAAAAGGCCGAAAATAGCTTCAGGACAAGTCTAGACAAATTAATGGATGGCCATCCTTGAGCAGGGTATTTTTAAAAATCAAGATCTTAGATAGCCCAACCTCTCCATTATTGCTGAAGAATGTCTGTGATACTCTCTGCGGAGGCCTCTCTGTTCCTCCCAGATGTGGGTGCCGAGCATCCTCAGGAAGGGTTGGAGAAACACAGTGGAGCGCAGATCCTGTCTTTGTTCCCAGCCATTGTCTGCCCAGAACCTGGGTCTCTGTGTTTTGTACAAATAGTCAACACAGTGCCCGGCACCATAAGTATTTGTTGAATGAACAAATGAAGGAATATCAGAGAGAAAGAGAGAGGTGGGTCTCGCTCAGGCCTCCTATTCTCACTTATACAATTAATTCATTTATCAAACATCAGTGGAACACTCACTGTATACTAAATACCATACTAGATCTTAGCAGGATGCAGTACATAGGGAAGATTTCCAATACCCTGTGGAGCTGAAGATCTGTCCAATCCAGCCCTAAAGTGAAAGGAATTTTAACCCTTCTCCGAGGCACGTATAACAGTGGGTCAGCTTGCTAGGCGAGGGTTAGGAGACGGGACGCCGCCCGTTCCAAGCACAGAGTGGAGTTGCAAGAGAAAAGCTGAGGCAAGCTGGGCAGGGAAGCTGCATGGATCCTTGCAATGCTGTTTCATTGTTTTGCTTGAAATGTCCCCTGGAAAAAAGGTGCATCATATTTTTAAAATATCGGTGCCTCGGCGTCTTCCAGACCAGAAAGAAATATATTTGGATGACCCACTTAAAAATAAATATTTGTTCTCATGTTGCAGCTTTAGGGGAGAGGTGGCGGTGCTTGGATTGTGTCAGCTTTCCTTTTTCATATGGGCTGTCACATGGCCGCCTACCTCTTAGATATGAGAATTGCTACAGCTCTGTCGCCGTGTGTTTTTTCTCAAATGACCACTTGAGACTATGTCTCTGAAGCGCAGTGTGATTGCACAGGGCCCTTGCTCCAGAACGCCCCAGAGTAAAGTGGCAAAGGACCAGCAACCAGAAGAGATGTTGGCAGAACAGAAGCTGGGCATCCGAAACAGAGAAGTGAATCCCTTAGTGAAAGTTATTGGGCAAACATCCACCTAACTTCCTCTCCCCATGGTTTTGAAATGTTCTTCTTAAGAGAAGTCAGTAGGACAAATTAACAAAGAAAGAAAGAAAGAGAGAGAGAGAGAGAGAGAGAGAGAGAGAGAGAGAAAGAGAGAGAGAGCAAGCAAAGGACAAGGTTGCTCAAGCATCCTGGATCAGAAAGTTCAGATCTCGTCAAAGCCCTGAAAGCCCTCAGAGTTGCCCAGGACTCTGATGGGAAGTGAGGTTTGAGGCAAATGAGAGGAGGAAGTATGCTTGGCAGAGGCAGGCTCCCAACCAGAGGTGGGTGACTAAGCAGGTGACCTACTCTCACAGAAACACCAAAACAGAGTTTTCAGGTGCATCTAAAGGGCAGGAAACTTCACTCTAGCAAGAGCTTTTGTGGATTGAAAGAGACTTCAAGAGTTTATCAGTTTCTTGGTATCAAGTTAGAGAGCACATAAAATTCCCCAGAGAGTCAATGCTGTTTTAAACGGGTTTAAATATGTAAATACCCATTTTAGATAAATAATTTTTTTCTTCAAAAATAGTTTAAACACCCTGTTTCAAATTGTTGAAGCATGGAAGTTTATTTTGACTTCGATTTGTAATTTCTTTGAGATTTTCCACAATAATAAGGTAAAAAGAGATAAGCCTATTTCTTGAGCAATTATAAAAACATGGTAAGTTGAAAAAGAAAATAAAAGTAACTAATGATCCACTGCCTGGAGGTAACTAAGGTAAGTTATTGGTTTAGGTTTTTTTCCCTCTACTTTTCCCTTTTACAAAAGCATATTTATCCTCACCCGAGGACATTATTACATTAATCTTCAGATAGAGTGGAAGGGAGAGAGGGAGGAAGAGAGAGAAACATCCGTGTGAGAGAAACACATCAAGTGGTTGCCACCCACACAACCCCAATCGGGGCTGGAGACAAACTGCAACCAAGGTACATGCCCTTAGCGGGAACCGAACCCGAGACTCTCCGGGCCGCGGGCCGATTCTCTAACCGCTGAGCCAAACTGGCCAGGGCACAAAAGCATATTTTATTTATTTATTTATTTATTTATTTATTTATTTATTTAATCCTCACCCGAGGACATTTCTCCATTTTTTGTACAGATAGAGTGGGAGGGAGAGAGAGGAAGAGAGAGAGAGAGAGAAACATCGATGTGAAAGGGACACATCAAGTGGCTGCCACCCGCACGACCAACCAGGGCCGGGGACAAACTGCAACCGAAGTACGTGCCCTTAGCGGGAACCGAACCCGGGTGTCTCCGGACCGCAGGCCGACGCTCTAACCGCTGAGCCAAACTGGCCAGGGCACAAAAGCATATTTAAATAAAGCATATAGTGTTGTATTTTGAGTCTTTTTGCTTAATAATTACCAACTATAAGGTCTTGATAATTTAGAAATTATTTAAAGTCATTGTTTTGTCATATGAATGAATCATCATTTATTTAACCATTCTTCTATTTTGGACATTTAAGTTTATATTTTATTACTCAGGATTGTAAGTCATGAACATCCTTCTGTATAATAAACCTTTGCCCATTCTTCCATGTCTTCCTTTCAGACATCATAGTCTCATATAATACTGGGTCAGAGGGTCTAAACACTTAAAAACTCTTAGTCCATACTGTCAAATTATTTCCCAGAGAGTTGGTGGTATCAGTATAAGTCCTCACTGGTAGGGTGTGAGAATTTTACAGTGTGCTCTGTTGCACTGTGATTCGTGGTTTCAAAATATCATTGTCACTTTGGTTATTTTTAAAGGTATTTTGAAAAAAACACTGGAGTGGGAGTTACTAGTGATGTTGTAGATATTTTTCCTGCTTATTGGTCATTTGCATGATATCTTAAATGATCTATGCTGGGTGTATAGCAACTTTGGGCATCAACACATTTTCTCTTGCATGTGAAATGTATCTTTGGGACTTAAAAAACCTTAGTTTGAAGTGCTCCTAGTTGTTTCCCCTGAGATAACTGGGGATATTTAAACTAAGAGCCAAAACAAAATAATATGAAATGAGAACCCGTTATGAAGGGGCTTTCCCTGGTATTTTAGATAATACCCTCCATGCATCGGGGGCTTCCTATATGCAGATAAATTCTCTACATTCACTATGTTGCTTAATCCTTATGAGAGCCACATAAGTTTGACTATGATTATCTGTTTCATAAATGAGGACACCGAGCTGTAGGGAGGTCCAGTAACGTGTCCCACGGCCCCCATCACGGCAGTGACAGTCCGCACTGCAGCCCAGATCTGACTCCACACAGAACTGGTTGCTGAAGAGCATGTTTTCCAGCCTTTGCCTTTACCAGACCTGCATGCACTTCCACCGCATTTCAGCTCAGGAGTTTCTTTCCTTTGTCTTTTAGGAGAAGGCAGAGGGGGGAGGGGAATTGGTCCTGCTGGGACCGAAGCTATTTTATGTTTGGGCTGGAAATGCGGTTGACCCTTTCTCATTCACTTCCTGTGGATCAATGTCAGAGCACTGTGCTAGATGCTCTGTCTGTTCCTGGGAGCCTCCGCCCTGCTTGTAGGAACTGACATTCTTTTGTTGTTGCTTTTAGCATCCACTCAAAGCTGAGCTCAGGGTAATGGCTGAGGGGCGTGAGCTGATCCTGGACCTGGAGAAGAATGAGTAAGTGGACTCCTTTGTCTAAAATGAAACAGTTCCTTTCCATGTCACTGCCGGACACAGGTGCCGCTGTTTTGTAAGGAAGCAGTTAGTGAAGTGACCTGAGCTCTCGGTCCTTGGTTTCTTTGTGCAGGGCCTCTTGCAAAGACAGCATTTCCATAGTCTCTTGACTTGCTGTGAAACTGCTGCACTGTTTAACAAGCAGTATTTCCGGGGCTTCTTAGAGTTCACTGTGTGTGTGTGTGTGTGTGTGTGTGTGTGTGTGTGTGTGTGCACGCCGAGGGAGGGATGGGCTGAAGGACTCCAGCAGCTGTCTCACTAGCTGCAGCACAGGGCATGGCAGGAAGCGAAGATTAGAGGAAAACAGCAGAGAGGAGAGAGGCAAGGAGGAGTGTTCTGGGATTCGCGCCTCCAACCCTGGCTGCTCCATCTGTTCTGGGTCAGCTAAACCTGAAATTCTGCCAATAAGGGCTTGGTCAGCAGTCCCCTGGCTTCACCGGCTGGTTCTTCCATCTTTCTAACCCCATTCATCTTGGGTGGCGGCCTGAGTCAGAAATATTTCCACATTGATTTGCCATCAAGCACAGTTATATCTTGATTCATGCTGTTGAGCAGGTGAATAGATAATGCATAGACGTGACTGTTGCCTGTTCTTGGGCCATTCCCAATCTGCTTGGCCCTGGGGAGCTCTCCTTCCTTGGCCGGGAGACCCTGAAGGCTTCGGTATTTCCCCACCAACAGTCCCACTTTGATTCTGCCACACAGACCTTGCAGATACGGCTGCGTGGCTCGGAGAACTGCCCATCTCCTCTTGGCAGCCTCCCTGGAAGCAGATGAGTCATCAAACACATCACTGCCAAGAAAGGGACGGATGGGGACCTTCCCGCATCCAGAAGGACAGGAATGGCTGCTAAGCTTGGGTGGAAAGCAAGAACATAAATTATTCCAAATTTGGGCTCTTGGACCCTTGCAAAGGAGGGTGAGTGGCCTCCGAAATGTGGTAGAAGCGTGACTTCAGCATGTGCAGTAATGGGGCTTCATTCACGCCTTCCCTCCGCCCACAGAAAGATGGGCCACGCAATCATTTTTGCTACTTTACTTTTGAGAGTCAAACCAGCCCAAGAATGTGTTCTTTTCGTCCCATTTCCTCAGAACAGACCTGGCTGGCTCTGTCCCCAAAGGGTGCAGGCTCCGCATGCCTGGGATTTTTCCCTGCGTAGTCTCTCTTTTGTCCTGCAGGAAAAGGCCATTAGAGCATCTGTTCCTAACAGTCTTTCTCAGGGGTTGGCTTTACCTTATCGTGGCCCCAGCCCTTTAGCTCTAGTCTAGATGTTCCCTGTTGCCACTCAGTCTAATCTGCCCTGTTATGCCTCCAAGTGGAGTGAGTATTTGACCCTTCAGCTTCCTCTGGGCAGTCCAAGTGGTGGGGTTGCTGTCATGGGCAAATCCTTAGGAGTTGGACTGGTCAGGTAGGGATCCCAGCGCTCATCCTGTCCTGTTGAGGAACCTTTGTAAGAGGTCATAAGAAGTTGCAGTGGGGAGACACTTTAAAAAACACTGAGTGCAACGGTCTTATGTGTGGCTGTAGAAACTTCAACTCAGAGAGGGATAGGCACTTGTCTGAGGCCACACAGCAGGTAAGTGAGAGTGGTGAGACTAGGATCATTGGTGCTCTTGGCTTGGACCTGAAGTCAAGGAGAGCCCGCGGTTGTGGTTCTGTCGTGTGCTGCTCTCTGGCTTCCCAGTGACTGGATGTGGTTCCTGGCCTCCTTGGGTTGGCGGGAGGCAGGAGAACTCGACAGAAATGGAAACAGCAGCGTCAGGCACTATGACCTCATCAGGTATCCCTGGGGGACAGCTTCCTGCTATTTTCGTCTAAATTGGGCTTTTTGTTTTTGAACACGTGTTAGCAAGCGGAACTCCCAACTGCACACGACTTCCTAGTGTGTTTATTTCCCAAAGCCTTCTCATTCATGGTGCGTACGAGGCCGGATGCAAAACAGCTCTGGGGGTGGGGATGATGTTTCTCTGAGTTTTCAAATCTCTCTGCTAAAGTTTTTTGTAATTCTACAATATTTGAGGGGAAACTGGGCCCTGTGCTAAGTGACTCTCAGGCTTCATTTTTTTTTTAAGTTCCTCAGTGTGATTCATTCATTTTTTTCATCTCCCATGCGTCTGTAGCGTTGTAGGCACCCGTCTTGGAACTAGGGATATAGCTGTGACTAAAACAGTTCAGCCCTTATGGAGCTTATACTCTACTGGTGGGAACAGTAAACAAACAAGTGAGTGTGTAGTATGTCTGGTGACAAGTGCTGTGGAATCAAAGGAACATAAGGGCTCAGAGAGCAGGCATGGGGAGGGAGGTGCTGCTTCAGAATAGTGGTCAGAGAAGGGCTCGGTGGTGAATTGATATTTGGGTCAAGACCCGAAGGAGATGAGAAAATGATCCTTGTGGATGACCAGGAGATGGCAATTCCAAGGAGAAAGAACAGCCAAATTCAAAGGCCCTAATAGATTTTGAAGGTTTTTACTCCCCCTCCCCAACCCCTGTGCATTTTTTCAAACATTGGATTTGGATTCTCAGTGCCCCCCCCCCGCCCCCCATCCTCCCACCCTGTCCCCCAGGAGCTGTGGGCAAGAGCTTCTGGAACTCTGAGGGGAGAGAGGACATTGCTAATATCTTTTTCATCATCCTGAGGTGTCTGGACTTCTCCCATAAAATCAAAGCCCACGTGCTAATGCACAGCCCAAAATAGCAGTGAGCAGGCCTGTAATGGAATTCACACGTAGAGAGATTGCCAAGAATGGTGAGGATGGAGGGGCATGGGGGATGGGCCAGGAGTCAGGGGACTTCAGCTCAGGCAGCAGATACCCCAAGATGCCGTAGTTCGGTAGCATGGCAGCCAGCAGCCTTTTTCTGCTGTGAATCAGCTCCACAAACGGATGACATTCCCATGGGAGACACACACCCTTTTCTCTACTGAGTGCACATGCCTTAGAGAGCCAATCTGCATGTGGCTTTCATGGCAGATAGTCCTGGGTTCTGATCCCACTTCTCCCACTGACTAGCAGGATGTCCTCTTTAAGCCTTGGTTTCCCTATGTGGGTATAGTGATGGTCGCATGCTGTAGAGCCATGGGGAAGATGAAGGGACACGGTGCCTGTAAAGAATCCAGCCTACAGCCGATGTGGCTCAGTGGTTGAGCGTCGACCCATGCACCAAGAAGTCGCCGGTTGAATTCCCGGTCAGGGCACATGTCCAGGTTTTGGGCCAAATCCCCAGTGCGGGGCATGCAGGAAGTGGCCAGTCGATGTTCTCTCTCATCACTGTTTCTATCTCTTTCTCCCTCTCTTTCTAAAAATCAATAAAGAAAAAAAATTATAAAACAAAAACAAAAAACCTAGCACAGTGCTCGGCTTGTGTTCTATACTCAGTAAATGGCAGCTACTGTTATTTCTCATGTTTTTTTTTGTTGTTGTTAATCCACACCCGAGGATGATTTTTAGAGAAAGTGGAATGGATGGTGGAGAGAGAGAGAAAGAAACATTGATTTGAGAGAGACACATTGATTGATTTCCTCTTGCATGACCCCGACCAGGGCTGGGGATTGAACCTGCAACCCAGGTACATGCCCTTGACTGGAAATCCTTTGGTCTGAGGGCTGACACTCTGCCAGGGGTGGGGAACATCCGCCGGCTGGCCATATAAAGCTCACAAAAGCAATACCAGCTAACATCACACACCTCACCAAATTAGCCTGACCAAATATAGCAGGCCAATTTTTAAGTTGATAATTTTGTATGGTCTGGGAATGATGTTATAAATATCCAAATAGCCCTTGGCAGAATAAAGGTTCTCCACCCCTACACCAAACTAGCCAGGGCCACGCGTGTCTTTTTAAATTGCAACATGCTCATTGTAAAACATGTAGCAATACCAAAGTATAATAAGTAAAAGAATAAAAATCTCCCACCCACAAGAAGAATCTGCTCTTAACAGTTTGGTGGGCATTCTCTGAACTTTTCTATGCATGTGAGACTCACATGCATGTAGATACTCAAAGACACAGTTGCACAGAAGCACACATACAGGCTGCTATTTTTGTGGGGAGGGAGGAGCAGAAATGAGATTATACTACAAATATTGTTCCACGCTTGTTTTTTTAGACTCAAGCATATGTCCTGAAGTTAGTACACTGCTCTAATAGAGTACATATTACATTGTTTTATATTTATTCACACATATGCCCATAATTTGCAAATGTTGGTTTATAGCTATTAGAGAACCTTACTTGTGGTTGGGGCAGTGTGATACAGTGGAGAGAGTACTGAGCTCTGAGAGAGACGTGTGGAATTGGTCAAGAAGCCATTTGGCCTTCCTGGGCCTCAACTTTCTCGCCTGTAAAGTGGGAATTTTGTCCCAGTTGGGCTATAAGAGCTTCTCCTGTACCACCTATTTAAAGCCTACTGTGCAAGCAGAAACATGGAAAAGAAGCACAGTTGTGGAGACATCCCTGGAAATAGGAGACAGTGGGAAAAAGGCAAATAGAGTCCAAAACCATGGACCTTGAAGTTGAGGATGAACTGCTAGTTCAGGACCCACCGTTTAGGCAACATAAACATGAGAAGGGAAATTACAGAGAAGAAATTATAGTGCCATTTCCACAAGTCACAATTTTGAGGCATAGTTCATAATATTTTTTCTCCATGTAATTTCCCCCGTGCTCTGAGGACTGCTTCATCAGTCCAGAGACCATATTAGACCAAAAAAAAGAAACAATCCCAAAAAGCAAAACAACTTGCTTGCTGAAATGAAATGGAATCTTCCTGGTCTGTAGGCATCTGGGGAAAGGCACACCTCCAGGGAGTACAGGCCTTGTCTCTCTTCCCATCTCCTTTCTTCATTTCTGTTCCCAAGAGGAGGGCACACTGAGCTGTTGAACCAGCTTGCAGGATGCTCATTGGGCTGCATTCCTAGAGGGCAAGATCACTACATTACAAGG